GTTTATGTTTAAGTGTTTACCGTAAATTTGCTAATGTGCTTTAATATTGTTGAAGTTAAATTATTATTAGGAAAGTCGAGACTTTGAGTATTAAGTTCGATTATTTCGTAACATGATATTGGCTTTGGCATTGAGGTTCATGATCGTTTTAAAAAATTCTTAACGACCCGGTTTAGGGAGTTAATATTTTATTTTTAATCGCTCACTTAATTTAGTAATCACTTTTATAGTAGTTAAATTAGAATTACAATCATCAACCCACGGATTAGAATGTTTAGGAATTTATTTTACTTTTCTGTGTGTTTTGGACAGTTAAATTAGCTAATTACGCTCCGAATAGCATTCCTTTGAGAACGACTCGAGGTCGGGTAGCTCGATTACCAAATACCCAAAATTATACCAAACAGTAAGTCATAAGTAACACATATTATTTTAAAATATATAGTAATATATTTTTTTTTTGTAAAAAAGTAGATTAAATTTAATATAGTTTTCTCATTAATTTTAAAATTAAGAATAATTTTTTAACACCACCCGTGTAATACACGGGTATTGTACTAGTCATGTAGTATATATGAATAATAAGAAAAAATAGGAAACCTGTCGTCATAAAATACTGATAAGTTATAGGAAAATGCTACCGTCCTGTTACAATTGTTTGATTCTGTAACGTGACCGTAACATTTTCTTAAGTTATATCAATTTCATAAATATGAGTTTTGAGTTTAAACTTAACATGTTATCATTTTCGTACATGACCTTGTATTTATTATTTCATGTTTTTGATTGAAATGTCTTTTTTTACGTACTTTAATAATTGGTTTGTTTATTATTTGTTTATATTACATCATAATTATTATATACTTTAAACTATAAAGGTTGAGTGGTTGACTAATGATTTCTTTTTAATGCTAGTGTTTAGAGGTTGACTAATTATTTTTCTTTAATAAAACAAACAATTCGTGAATGCGTTCACGTGTACCAAAAAATTTATTAGATATTACAAACATAGAGGCTGATACTCGAGTCCTTATGAGAAAAACAAATTGCGCCTTAATAATATTTAGGAAAAATAGTTGTGCTAAAAGTAAAATATAAAAATTTAGCAGACGGGCGTAAATGAAAACAATAAGAAGCGAGAGTTTTGGCTCTCCGATTTACCGCAGACCGACCGGAGCTCGAGCTTGGGCTTCAATTAATTAATCAAAGCCACGTACACGCGTGGTAACTGAAACTATGATACCCGTTGTGGGTTTTGCTGTCACACTTGAAGCCGCAATAAACGCATCTATATGTACCCCGCGATGCTTCCTTTCTTTGTCTCGCATTCTCCCTCTCATCTCGGGTGGGTGGCTGCCCCGAAGGAGACGACGGGTCAATGTTGTAGCCGAGGGCGCCCCCTTCCTTCCTAATAAGAAACGGGAATCGAACCAGCGGAGTCGGGCTAAACCATATGGGCGGGTTGGTCACCTTCTCCATCATCTGGACATCACATGGATAGAAGCATGGATGTAGAGTCTTGGTCGCGCAGTGGAAGAAGCCAACGTCGTAGCCTCCTCCGACCCACTGTGGTGGGGCCGTGTAGTACACGCAGCACCGTTCCAGATCGTCCGGGTAGTCTTCAGCTGGGAGAGCAAACCCATTGCTGCTGCCCACAAACAATGCCTGCTCCTGCAGGCAATGCTCCATGTACTCGAGCGATCCCGTCTCGGGCACGTATTTGTGAACGTCAAAACCGACCGTCGTGTATGGAGCTGTATGGTCGTCATCGTTCTTATGCTCCACAAACCGCCTCACGTGGAAAAGCTCGTCCGATTGCTCGGCCACAACAAGGAACCGGTAGCTCTTGCAGAGTCGCTTACGTTCCGACTCCGAACCAGAGGCCACCGGATAGTTGTCCTTATCTACCGACACGGCCATCGGGATCATCCTTGGAGAGAGCGGGTCCTGGAGATCCCAAGCCTCCAGCAGAGTACCACCTGTACTTTCTTCATCTGGTTTATCTGTGAAGCAGCAGAAGAAGAGCTTTTGTGAAGTTGAGTAGACGCACGATGCGTAACCGGTACGCTGGCCGAGTGGGGTCCACTCGGCGGCGGTCCCGGGGCAACAGAAGGCCAATTTATTCTGCGGGCCGTAGATAATCACGGCACGACACTCTGGATCGGTGTCCGGGTTGGGGCTGGAGATCATGATGCTGGTTATTCCGCCTCTTGTGTCATCCGAATTGGTGGGAATATTGTGATGATCAGGCTGCAGGGCAGGCGTCGACAATTTGAGGTGACGATGCGTGAGGGGATTGGAGAGGAATAGGCACCGGCTGAGGCTATCGAACCAAACCACCCAGCCACGTGAAGAGCCCACGACGACACAATTATTGTCCGGCCAAAATTCGTCACCGTCGCCTTGTTGTGGCCTTTTTTTGAGGCTGACGACTCTCTTATCTCCGAGGCTGTAAAATTGATAAACCATATGTTCACTACTGTGTTCATCAACTGTGATTGG